GAAGAAGAAGAAGAAGAAGAAGAAGAAGAAGAAGAAGAAGAAGAAGAAGAAGAGGAGGAGGAGGAGGAGGAGGAGGAGGAGGAGGAGGAGGAGGAGGAGGAGGAGGAGGAGGAGGAGGAGGAGGAGGAGAAGAGGAGGAGGAGGAGGAGGAGAAAGAGGAAGAGGAAGAAGAAGGGGAAGAAGAAGAGGAAGGGGAAGAGAAGAAGAAGGAGGAGGAATGTGTAGCCTGCATCATATTCTCTTTAAATGAAACCCCCTGGCCGATCAGATGCTTATTATTTTCCTGTAAGCAAACAGCCATCTGGTCTGAGCTAATGATGAACCAGGGAATTGGAGAAACATGGCATTTTATGCAAAGTATTTTGCAGCATGTCACAAACATTAAAACACTGGATGGTGAACTAGTCACTGGAGGGGTAGCTGGATGAAAAGGAGAGGGGGGAAGCGTTCCATGCTTTTGGTCAAAGCCACTGGCATGGGTACCTCAAGATGTTCTATGAGGTTTGAGTGGTTTATTGATTAGGAAGCCAGAATGAAATGCTGGTTCGGATCCAAGGAACCACAGATGGGGTAGGTAAGCAGCTGCCTCTGGAGAACTTCCATCCTGGGCCTGGGAGCTTGGAGTCTTTTATACTTTTCTATACTCCAGTTTGAAGCAAATCATAGAAATAGCACTTAGCAGTAGCACTGCTCCATAGTGCTTTAAATTAGCACACTCTCTGGGGTAGTTTACAACATCAGCATATTTCCCCCAACAATCTTGGTCCTCATTTTACTGACTTCAGAAGGATGGGAATTTGAATTAATCCTGAGCCGGACAGGATCGAACTCCTAGCTGTGGTCAGAGTCAATCTGCGATGCTGCAATCTAACTGCTGTGCCATGAGATATAGAACAAGTGATGACAGACAGACCGACAGACCGACAGAGAAAGGAAGGAAGGAAGGAAGGAAGGAAGGAAGGAAGGAAGGAAGGAAGGAAGGAAGGAAGGAAGGAAGGAAGGAAGGAAGGAAGGAATAAATAGAGCAATAGCACTTAGACATATACTGCTTCATAGTATTTTACAGCCCTCTCTGAGCAGTTTACAGAGTCAGTGGCCTTTTTGGATGAGAAGTGAAACAGTCTTCAAAGAAAAACCAGAAAGTCCAGTTGCCTCTTGAAAAAAGCCCTTTTGGGACAACCATGACCTGGATGATGGAGAACCTCAATAGACAAAAGGATCAAAACACGTCTTTGCAAGCAGTCAACACCCAGGTAAGCAGAGATTAATGCCAAGTTTAATAATACTAAACTGACAATCAAAAGGTAAACAATATGCCAATCAAGGAACTACAATTTCAGACAAAAAGTCATTAGCCTAATCAAGGAGCCACCAAGAACATTCCCACCAACACCGACAGGGCAAGCCACTGGTATATAAATAGCAAGAAAGCCCCACTTCCTTCTAACACTGATAATATTACCTAGTTGGGTGATAAAACGTCTGCAAGGAACCAAGAGTCAGAAAGCACCAACGATCCCACAGTTCAGCCCTGAGCTACAGTAAATGCCTTTTTTCCCTTGTCAGTAATAGGCTGTATGTTCCATTTGGTCTGTATCTGGCCTCCTCCAAATTTGGATGGGTTTAACTTGTATTTGCCAAGCCAACAATTTCTGACTCTCCATGCAAATCTCTAAAAACAATTTGACCATGCTCTATTGTACCTTCAGGGGAAATACGGAGGATGAAGCCTTCTGTTTAAAACTCACTGATGGGAAGAGTTTCTAAGTCTCCCTAATGGCTTTTTAATTTTGGTCCAAATTGGTCTGTAATAAAAATGGTTGAGGTTTATTGGCTAAGCCTCGCAAAATTTCTCATTCAAAGGCTTCCTCTGTTTATTTTCATGGGAACAGCTTTAGAAATAGGAAAAAAAAAACAATGAGTCCATTTGAATTACAAGTAATCTTTGACTTACAGTTGCCTGTTTGGTGACCATTCGAAGTTACAATGAATTGAATAGAATTGTAGAATAACAGAAGGGACCTTGGAGGTCATCTAGTCCAACCCTCTGCTTAAGCAGGAGAGTCTATTCCAAATATTAGCCTCTACCTTGGATCAAACCCATAGCCTCCTGATTGTGAGGTGAGATCTCCACCTCTAGGCCACTGGAGCTGAAATATATGAATAAAGTGACTTATGACCATTTTTCACAATTACGACCATTGCAGCATCTCAAATTCAGATGCTTGGCAACTGACTCATATTTATGACAGCTGTAGTGTCCTAAGACCATTGGATCCCCTTTGTCAAACTTCTGACAAGCAAAGTCAACAAGGGGAAGCCAGATTCACTTTACAACCATTTTGCTAACTTCACAACTGCAGCGATTCACTTAAAACAGTGGCAAGGAAGGGCATAAAACGGGCAAAACTCACTTTTAACTGTCTTGCTAGCAAACAAAAATTTGATATATGATTGTAAGTTCTGGATGAACTGCGACTTAAACCCCAGGAGACCAAAGCCAACGCTGTGAGAGAATGGCAAGGATGAAATTCTGGATGGAATTGAACTCGGTGCCTCCAGAGTTAAAGTGAAAGATGGGATCATGGTTTACTTTCAGTGTCAGCATGGATTGGACACAAGCATCCAGGTTTTATAGGACAGAGCTCAACTATGTTTCATTCAGTTTGACGAAAGACCATAAACATTCTTTCCAAGGAAGAGATGCAGTGGTGGGATTCAAATTATTTTTATTACTGATTCTGCGGGCGTGGCTTAGGGGGCGTGGCAGGAGAAGGATACTGCAACATCTCCATTCC